AAAAACAGTCTTCATCAGGAATTTCTAGTTGGAATACTTCATTCCATCTTTTCGATTCTAGTAGAATCACTTTACGGGGAAATCGTAGTTTCACATTTGAATGGACTTGAAAATTTTAAATTTACTCGTGCAGTGGTTTCATTTTGCGGAGACTCAACTTAATCGTAACAGCGACAGTTACGATCAGAAACTTGAATTTTTCATTCGGCAGAAGAATCCTAACTGTCACTGTAGCATGACGAGCTGTGCTCATTTATATTTCTCTCCTTTATACTTAATATTTTCTTATGTTGATAAATATTAAAATAATGTAAACTCTAATAATTAGTCTCCTGAATAATTAGTCTCCTGAAACCAACAACCACAATCTCCTCTACTTCAGCCATATTTCCTTATCAGAAATACACTCCCTGGTGAAATATAAGATTCTATGTAAAATGTCACGTGTCACTATGTCACGTGATATTATACAGCATTATTGTTTTTATGTGACTGAAACCAGTTCGCACTTGTTTACGTTAGCGTATTCATTGGTTAAATTAGACGAAAAATAATACAAATTTGACGATAGGATAAATTAGACGACATATTATATAAATGTAGAATATTTATTATATCAAGCAGTATAATAGTATATTATAATAAGTAGATCAAATTATTAGATACTCTGTAGTTTTTTAATAATGATATGATTTGCACGAGTTTCTATGCATTACTTTTATATTTAACCACACAAGTAATGGGTTTTTATTCAGGAGATTTTTCATATACTTTCTACTTGTAATAATTTTCAACGAATTACATTACAATGTTTACCAATTGATACAGGATCTCAAATAAATGCAACCCGGTTTCTGTCTTGTAAAAACAATAAAGCTGTGTAGTATCACGTGATAATTATAATTTTACATGGAATCTTGTAGTGCGTCTCATAATATGGGCAGAGACTGTTCTTCAAAAGAATCAATGAGATCAAATTAACTTTTACGATTCTATTCTTTATCGATATCCCGATATCATAATACCATTTTTTCGAATGATGTACATTTCGTTTGATGTTGGTCAACCTAATCTGCGAGTGGTTGCAGCATAAAAGCAGTGAAGATTGCAATGAAATTTATCGAAGAGAATATTTAATATTTAGAACAAAATTAAGGAACGATTGACGGATGCATTCGGTTAATGTTAACATTCTGATTGTGTTTTGATGTTGCAAGATTCAATTTTTTTTAAAAAAAAGTTTGAACTAACTTCTTTTATTTAAAAAATGCAGCTTGCTTCTGTTTATGTTCTCCCAAAGACCTGTATAAGTTCAAATCTCAATGGTTTAAACTTATACAGATCTTTTAAATAAAAGTTAATATCATTTTCATTTCAATTAATCATTGTGAAGCTTATAAGCTTACTTAGTGCTACATGAGTATTTTGTTATTATTGTGCTATCGCAAGTGCTTGGTATGGCAACGGAGAAAAAAAAAAGAAGTTTGGTCGAAATGTCAACGTTTTGAGGAAGAAAAAGCCTGATTTTAAAACATAAAATAAATACTCATCTTCATTGTGAACATCTAAACCAATAAAACTCACAGCTGTTATAAAAATAGTTTATAATTGGGGGGGGGGGTTGCTAATTCATGTGACAAGAGTCGTGGTGGCTCAGGGGATAGAGCGTTCACCTTACAATGAGGTGAATTGTGTTCGAATCTCAAAGGCTGGTCGATACGAATTCTGAAACCGGCTCACGCCGACCACAGTGCTGACGTAAAATATCCTCAATGGTAGACGAATTACGGGTTAGAGTCTCCTTGCCGTCAGGCTAACCATGGTTTGCTTTCGTGGTTTTCCTCTCCGCGTATCGCAAATGCTGCAAATGTGTTAATTTCTTCAAAAAGTCCTCTACGAAGGCAACTAATTACCAATACTTGATAGTAGTTTCTTTGTCTTCTGGATTGGGTTCAAATTTACAAGGTTATGGAGTTAAACATTTGTAGTCGTAAACCCAAAAATTGGGTCAGCTGTTCAACGAAGGTTATAAAATAAAATTTATTTGACTGTGCTTTTAAAATTTAGCCTCAGATAGCATTTTAAATTCTAATTTGAAAAACAACTTATTTTTCAGATCAAAAAGTTCCGGAGATTTCGTACAGCTTTGCGTGATGCCGATGGCCTTAATTTCATAGCCTGTAATTTTGCGTGGGTGGACAGGGGTGTTGCGCATGATAGGAGGAGGAAGGAGGGGGGGAGATTTTGTGGCTTATCGCCGTGTTCCGCAGTCACGGTTGGGAGGAAGATTTTGTCGAAGGGATGAGACAAGGGGGCTGGAAAGGGGGAGGGAAAAGTCCTTTCAGTCAAATCGATAATTTTTATAATGAGCTTATTCGCTGACTCGATATTCTCTACCATCCCGTCGTTTACGGAGAACGATTTGCGTTCGAAGTTTGGATTCGGTTGAAAAGTTTACACCCCTAACCACCTAAGCAACATTCACGTTTATGAGGAGAAAAGTTTTAGAGCTGTAGGAATATTTACTTTAACCATAACCGGTCAAATGGCCGTTTAACAACTTTTGCATTTAAAATGCGCTTATCTTATCGTTTTTGCACATTTGACTGCGTGACTTTTTCTAACAATTATATATCTACAGTTAATATTCTATTATAATTATTATGTGTTCTGTTTGTTTCGAATAATACCTGTCGTATTCCTACCACAACCGGTAACTTGACAGGGAGAACAATTTATTGCTTTATAAGTTTAGCGGATCAGAAATGACGATGCAATGCGTGTTCAACGTATTGCATTCGATGAGTTGCACACTTCTGCAAAGACTTGCGTAGTGAGTTCAATCACAATAACTGCGAATTCAAGTTCCAAGAAAGTACCTAAAATTTTAGATTGGCATTATTGGGTCAGAAAAAGTGACAAAAACTAAATATTTTATTAAATAGCTTATATTTTATTTTGATAGCTTTACTTCATTTTTTAACTAACTGTTAGTTTTTTTACCCGGAAAAATGTCGAAACCATCAAAACAGCACAAGTTCTTTAAAGAAATAATATTATATTTACGAATAATTATAAAAATTATAATTCTTATACATTCTTATGATTATAAGAATTATATAAATAATAATAATTAGACGAAATATGTTTGCTGAAAATGTACAATGGAAACACACTGTTGTATATGTAAAGAATGCGTTGAGAAATGAATTAAAAATTCTTATTCTTTGTTTTTGTAATACAAAAAAATTGGTCATATACTATTTTGTTGAATAATAATGAAGTTTTTTTTTGCTTATTTCCTTCCTAACATCCATATTTCATACATTCAATCAAGAAACAAAGTCCGGTCTATAGTAGAACTGGGTATAGATTAAGTGTTGGTGCGTTTAGTGTTAAAATCGATCCATTTGAAATACAGGAGGGAAAAAAAGGTCCACAATCTATGTAAATTTTTCGATTAAAACTCGTGTTTTTGTGAAATTTCTTCACTCAATGACTTGAATAAATTATTTTTAACGTTATCATTTAACCTTCAATCGGGCGCTTTTAGCCAAGATCCTGCTTTTAAAAACATCGTACCGTAATTAAAATTCAAATTTTTTAAAAGAAATACAATAATAATAAATCTTCTAAAAATAGGATAAGCCGATATAATTAATACAGTATCAACACAGTCTGTAATATCCAAAAATTACAAAAAGGTCTGTTTTATTGATTAAAAATTGTAAAAGATCAGTTTTCTCTACAGCAAAGAAAAAAAGAGTAAAATATAGGTTTTTACGATAAAAAAAGCGTGTAAAATAAAAGGTCGCGTAAATGGATTCAAACCCCTGAGTTCATTAGTCACTGAAATTTTTTTTTAAAATACTTTATTTTTGTTTACGAAAGAGTTTGAGAGATTTCTTTTTAGTTCGCAATAATTATTATAATTAGTATGTGATAATAAATAGAATTTTCCCCTTAATAACGAATTCAATTCAAAAGCATTTTTTTAAAAATTAATGTTAAAAAAGTTGTAGGCAATTTGTATTTGAACTACTGGTATTTTTCTTTAAATTCTCATATTTTTAATTCTTTTAATGTACGAGGTGAAAAAAGACTCTTTATATAAGGCAGACAGAAGCTTGCCAAATTTTTAGAACATTATTTTCAATTGGTAGCTATATTTATGCTATAAAATAAATTATTTATTATTATTATTAAAATAAGTCATTACAAAATTAATACTGGTTAAAATTTAGAGTAGAAGTTTATAAATTTCGAGATTGTGTTTTTCAATTCTTAATATATATTAATTTTGTAAAGAAAACATGGATATAATGATGTATATAATTGTTGTTCTAAAATTTCAAGAGCAGAAATAGCTGTTAAACTTCTACCACCAGTAACTGGTAGGACTGTATATTTAAAGTTGACACTTCGATTTCTTAATAAAATAAATAAGAATAAAAAAAATTTGAAACATTTAACAAACAAACTAAATTGAATTATGGTTCACAAATGTATCGATTTGTGTTCAAAGTTTCTTTCTTAGTATAATTAAATAGTATATTTTATTTTATTTTATTTTATAACCGTCGTTGAACAGCCAACCCAATTTTAAGGGTTTACGACTACTTATGTTCAACTCCATAGCCTTGTCACTTTGAACTTAATCCAGAAGACAAGGGGACTCCTGAATCGAGTATCGAGAGAAATTTGCCTTAGTGGAGAACTTTTTGATGGAGCTTACCCGAATTTGCGTTACTTGGAGAGGAAGACCACGAAAACCTTCCAAGGTTAGCCTGATGGCAAGGGGACTCTAACCCATGATCCGTCTACCACTGAGGATATTTCACGTCAGCACTGTGGTCGGCGCAAGCGGAATTCGTATCGACTGGGATTCGAACCCGGTTCGCCGCTTTGGAAGGCGAACGCTCTATCCCCTGAACCATTTTTGTTTGAATAAATTTTGACTGAATAAATTATTTAATTAATTTTGAAAATTTTAAACATACCTTTAGTATTGCAGAGCCTCATAATATAATTCTTGGCGTATTGACAAGTTTCTGATTTAAACAAAAGATAACCTAAAATAAATAAAACAAACTTAAAAACAAAATTACGAAGTGAAAATAGAAAGAAAAACAACTACTGAAACTACTTAAACATCTCGTTTTTTTTTGTTGTAAATAATAGCGGATAATAAAGATTATCACCACGATGTGACGGAAAGCAAATAAAAGTAAATGCCCCCAAATCTAATTTTTTTCATTAGGTAACAAAGCATCAAAGCACATTTTTATTCATATATAAATTGCCAACTCCACTTTCTTTTTCTTTATTGAATTACCTGAACTTTTTTTTCTCTTTCTAAACCATAAAGAAGATTGAAAAGAAATTGATTTCACAACCAAGAAATGAATATTTGTTACGAAAAAAAAACATTAAAATTCATATAAAATTTCCTAATTAACTTGTCGGCAATATATTATCAATTTTAAATTGATTAAAAACACTGGGGATGCATACGTTTTTTTCTCAGAATATTTATTATTTCTTTTTGTTATAGAAAAATATCTTAATTAGTTGTTTCTTTATATCTCTGTAATATTTTATCAGAAATTGAATAAAAATATTTAAAAAGAATTTATGCACGGAGAATAATTTGATTAAAAGTAATTATTCAAATATACAGCCAAATACGGAATTAACGATTTAACGAACCATGATTTAACGTTTTTTTTTTTTTTAATAAAATGAATGGAAAAAATCTTACGTAACGATTAAAAAGCCCGCAATTAACGAACAATAAAAAAATTACACTTTGGTTCTTTTAATGAAATGTATTTATTTATATACAGATATGATTTTTGAACGAGAATGGAACACAGATTTTTGTATAACTAGTGGGCTGCGTCTCCTGCTCGCTAACGCTCGCCAACCCCCAAAAATTGCTACGCAATCTTATATGGTTTGCTTCGCAAACCAAGCTCGCTTCGCTCGCTACTAACTTAGGTACATTGCAAATGCACGAAATTCTAAGGATTCAAAACAATCATTCAAATCCATCTAAAAATTTAAAAAAAAAAAAAATTTTTTTTTAGTAAATACTAAGTCATTAAAATAATTTTGAATTCAAATAAATGAAATTTAATTCGTTAAGCCTATTAGAAATGTGCTATAGTATAATTCGTGATATCTTTTTAGTAAATACTAAATCATTAAAATAAATTTGAATTCAAATAAATGACATGTAATTCGTTAAACCTATTAGAAATGTGCTATAGTATAATTCGTGATATAAATCAAAAATCGTCAAATAAATTCGTAATACAAAATTCGTGAAAAAAGCGCTTTCGACAAAATACTAAAATAGAGATCTATCGACAAAGACTACTCACTTCTGCCTAGCTTAATAGTATGAGATTGCCACAGCTGATACTCTCTGGTTATTTCAGTTTCTGTTTTTAAGAGCTCTATATGTTGAGCCACCTCAGCTAGATTTCGCATGTGAAATTTTTAGCGGCAATCATTGGTCGATTCACCGTGTAAGAGAAATAGAAACGTAAACAAAACAAAGCAAACGTTGCCACCGGCGGAAAAGAGATGCAGCCAAAATTTGGGAGTTACGTAAGAGAATTATATACATTAGATTTCTAAAACTTTTAATTTTAAATGACAAAAGTGTAACCAAATTACTCAATAGATCAAGAATTTAAATTTTAAGTATGCTTTTTCTAAATTTGATACCTCCTCTCCTTAAAGTTGAGTTTTAGTACCTGAGAAATCGATTGGTAGATCGAAAGTTATTCAGGGTGTTATTTTTTTTTACGCTTCATACACACCTACATTGTACTGTAAATTCACATATAAACATTAACCTGTTGAAGATTGAAAGTGTTTATTGTATTAGCCTTTAAACTTGTGTCTTTTCTTGTGCAATCAAAAAATTGAAATGAAAAGTTCTTTTAATTTGCAAAAAATATTGAATTATTGCCACTAATACAAGAGTTTTGAGTCATGAGTTATAAAAATACATATTAAGGGCGGTGATTACGCAACCTCTTCAAATCTTTCTAAAATCCTGTATCATAACTACAGACGGATATGAGATTGAGCTAACTAAAAAACGCAAAAGCATCCTGATTTCATTAACAGGCCCATTCTCTGATTAAGCAATAAAAATCAGTGATATAAAAATTCGGTGAAAAGTCGTGATGGAACGGTGTTATAATATTAGATGTGAGAAATCATTTCGATGCAATTTATCACAGAAGTTATTTTATTGCCCAGTCAGAAAATAGACTCGCTATTTTGAAAAATGGGATGTTCGTAAGTCAAAAGTAGAAGATACATGAAACTTAACTGTTTTCTACTTGTTTTTACCATTAAGATTAATAAATAAGGTTATTTTTAGCAAAAGAAATGTCCCCGTTGCTTGGAAGATGAGGGGAGGAAAGAAAGCATATTTTTCTGAAGATTAAAACAAAATAAAGGAGTTACTTAATCGGCGATATCATCAAGAACAAAATAAGTGAAGCAAAGTACTAGTAACTAGCAACCAGTAAAGCAAAAAGAAAAAAAAGAAAAAAAAAAAGATGCTATGAAGAGCTATGAAGTGCCCGGCTGATGCACACTGAAAAATTAAATGAAGGGCGTGAAGAAAACGAGACGTAAATGAGTGAGTAACGTATTAAAAAATAAGAGGGAACAAAATAGGTAACTGAATGAAGTACAATATAAAGTTAATAAGAGTGACATTTTGGGGAACGGAATGAGAAGGATCTCATATTTGAGAGCAAAATGAGGAGAGTGACATTTTGGAGAACGTAATAAGAAGGATGGCATTTTTGAGAACAAAATAAAGAGAGTTTCATTTCGGAGAACGATATAAGGAGGGTAGCATTTGGGAGAACGAAATAAGGAGGGTAGCATTTGGGAGAACGAAATAAGGAGGGCGGCATTTTGGAGAACTAAATAACGAGGGTGGCATTTTGGAGAACGAAATAAGGAGGATGGCATTTTGAAGAAGGAAATAACGAGGGTGGCATTTTGGAGAACGAAGTAAGGAGAGTGGCATTTTGGAGAACGAAATAACGAGGGTGGCATTTTGGAGAACGAAATAAGGAGAGTGTCAATTTGAAGAACGAAATAAGGAGGACTGCATTTTGGAGAACAAAATAAAGAAGGTGGCATTTTGGAGAACGATATAAGAAGGTTAGCATTTGGGAGAACGAAATGAGGAGTGCGACATTTTAGAGAACGAAATTGGGAAGGTGACATTTTGAAAACGAAATAAGAAAGGCGGCATTTTGGTGAACGAAATAAGGAGGATGGCATTTTGAAGAAGGAAATAAAGAGGGGCATTTTGGAGAACGAAGTAAGGAGAGTGACATTTTGGAGAACGAAGTAAGGAGAGTGGCATTTTGGAGAACGAAATAACGAGGGTGGCATTTTGGAGAACGAAATAAGGAGAGTGTCAATTTGAAGAACGAAATAAGGAGGACTGCATTTTGGAGAACAAAATAAAGAAGGTGGCATTTTGGAGAACGATATAAGAAGGGTAGCATTTGGGAGAACGAAATGAGGAGTGCGACATTTTAGAGAACGAAATTGGGAAAGTGACATTTTGAAAACGAAATAAGAAGGGCGGCATTTTGGTGAACGAAATAAGGAGGGTGACATTTTACAGAACGAAATGAGAGTGGAAGATTGAAGAAAGAAAGGAGGAGGAAATATTAAAAAACAATATTGGAAGCGGGGGCTAATTGAAAAAAAAATATGGGTTAACCTACAGAATATAAAATGAATTGGGTGATTTGTTGAAAAACGAAGTGAGAGAATAATTTTATCAATTACTGAAAATTTGACAAAATTATATTAATTGAAAAATATTTAACAATTTATGGATGTCACTTGCGTGTTGCAGATTTAAATTTTTAAAAACATGATACATAAAAGAATATAAGTTAATAATTCAAAGTAAAACCATGGACATTGCTAAGTCAGGCTAAGGTAATTTTTCAGGGTCAAGCTGTAGTGTGAGAAAGGTCCGAAGGAGTTAAAAAAAAATCAAATGAGGGTATTAAAAAGTATCCAAACGGTATTTCCTATATGTTTAAAAATTACACGTATGTTTCGAGCGTAGTTAAAATTATGTCATATCAATGTAAATTCCTTTTATTTAAAAAATTAATATTTTATGTTGACATTGTTGATCGCTCAAGAGATTTCTCGGGTTCCTTCTTCTACCGTAAAATAGTTCGAACTTAAGATCGCTCAAGAGATTTCTTGGGTTCCTTCTTCTACCGTAAAATAGTTCGAACTTAAATACTACAAAGTAAAGTACAAGCAACTTTGATTTCTGAAATTATACATCGTTGTAAATTCTTTAAATGTAATGTTTCTTAACCAACCCACAATGTGTTAAAGACAACTTTACACTTAGTGGATATTTACCGTTTGTCTAAACATCTGTTTTATTAAAAATTAATGTTCCATATTTTTTTCCACTTACTGATTATCCAGTAAGAATGGCTTTAAAATATTTTTTATTACCTTAATCTTATATTTGGAATTACAGTGAACACTCGCTACTACGATGTCCAATACACAATAACTCCCTTTATTACGATAAAGGTTCGTGGTCATGACGAACTTGCAATGTCATGCTCTTCTCAATAGTACGATATTCTTTGAAGCAATGAACCTCTGTATTTTTTTTTCTTCAAAATTTCAACTTTATTTTCTCCATTTTCCTGACAAAAGACTCACTGCTGATCACCCCAAGAGCTTCCATTTTTAGAATCTCCTCCCCTATCTCTTAAGAAGTCACAGATGAAGCATTCCTCTCCGATTTCATTTCCTTCATGTTGAAAGTTAATCATAAGTCACAAATGACCACAAGCATCACATTAACACCTGAAAGAGATTTTTATTTTCTGCAGAGGGTGGGTGGAGCACCATTTACAAACGAATATTATTTTTTGTGCTTTGGACTCGATGCAGACTTTGTTGGTTGACTTGACAGTCAAAAAAATAAATAAACGAACTAAAATATCAGATTATTTTGAATAAAAACGGTTTT